GATCTACCTTTAATTCCCTTACCTTTCTTATTTCCTTTCTTCCAAGCATTCTCAGCTCTTCCTTTTTTTTTTTTTTTTTTTTTTTTTTTTTTTTTCCATAAGATATGATCATGTAATTTTGGTTGAAAATGCCAAAGCAATTTCACGGAGAAAGGATTTTCAAAAGCCGGTGCAGCAACAACTGGTTATCTATAAAGAGATAGCCGCAAACTGAACAGGTCACCAACATGGTAATGATAACTCCCTGGTTAGGACCTGTAGGGAATGAACCAGAGCACCAAGAAGCCGACGAAGCCCCAGAACACGCTCATCACAATGAGAGGCACCGTGAGGCCGTGATACGCCATGGTCGCCGCCTCACCCGGTCTCACCCGGAAGCGTCCAGTTCTTCCTTTTTATTGAATCATTCTTAAGCTCAAACGGGCTCACATTTCTCTTAAATTAAACAACAACTCTCTCTTTTGCCCAGCTACCATCCTTTCTCCTTATCTTTGTCCTAAAACTACAAAACAAAGTTTGGTGCTCCGTGCTCCAGAGCGCATTCTGGCCTGGCTCCACCCCGCCAGCTCACCCAAGGTCACTGGTGCCTCCTGCAGCCTGCTTTTGACGGGAGGAGTAGCTCCTTAAAATGGTTTACTACTTGACTATTTATCCAAAGGCAAAAAGAAAATTTAATGTAACTACTAATTCTTAATAATGACTGCAATAGGCTAGCAAAGTGTTGCCTGGTCACAATTTTTAAGGGAACTGCTTAAGAGAAATCCTTTTGTACTTCTCATCAGCTATTTTGTACATATGGAAAGTTAATGATTCTTCAGCACTGTAATGGTGCTTTAAAAGTTTTGCCTAAGTATTTCAAAGATTCTCCCTTTAATGCCTTTCACATTACTAATTTGCATGGCAAGTCCTTTGAGTGTAGATAGTACAAAGGAAAATCTCCTTTATGAACCCCAGGGAACCCAAATTCCAAATTAATGAAGAGAGTAGAGAGTTGCTCAGCAGGTTTTGCAGCCCTGCTCAACCCTTCTGGGAACAAATTAATTTTTTTTTTTTTTTTTTTTTTTTTTTTTTGAGGGGGTTTTTCTCTTTTGTTACCCAGGCTGGAATGCAATGGCGCGATCTCGGCTCACCGCAACCTCGGCCTCCTGGGTTCAGGCAATTCTCCTGCCTCAGCCTCCTGAGTAGCTGGGATTACAGGCATGCACCACCATGCCCAGCTCATTTTTTGTATTTTTAGTAGAGACGGGGTTTCACCATGTTGACCAGGATGGTCTCGATCTCTTGACCTCATGATCCACCCGCCTCGGCCTCCCACAGTGCTGGGATTACAGGCTTGAGCCACCGCGCCCGGCCAATTTTTTTTTTTATTTGAAGATGGAGTCTCACTCTGTTGCCAGGGCTGGAGTGCAGTGGCATGAGCTCGGCTCACTGCAATCTCCGACTCCAGAGTAGCTGGAATTACAGGCACCTGCCCCTATGCCCAGCTAATTTTTTGTATTTTTAGTAGGGACAGGGTTTCACCATGTTAGCCAGGATGGTCTCGATCTTTGACCTCGTGATCCACCCATCTTGGCCTCCAAAAGTGCTGGAATTACAGGCATGAGCCACTGTGCCCGGTGATGTATTTTTTCTAAGTTGCATCAGGTACACTCAGATTTTTTTTTTTTTTTTTTTACTTTAGGTTCTGGGGTACATGTGCAGGTCATGCAGGGTTGTTGCAAAGGTGCATACTATATCTGGCATTTCTCCCCATGTTATCCTTCCCCACCCTCCCCACCCCATGCTGTTCCTCTCCTAGGCCCAGGTACACTCAGATTTTGAGTTAATCCTTTGTGTCAAGGAAACTGGACTGGGCACAGTGACTCATGCCTGTATTCCAGCACTTCGGGAAGCCAAGGCAAGATGGTTGCTTGAGCTCAGGAGTTCCAGACCAGCCTGGGCAGCGTAGTGAGACCCTGTCCGTCTCTAGAAAAAATTTTTAAAAATCAGAGTGTGGTGGTGCATGCTTGTAGTCCCAGCTACACAGGAGGATGAGGCAGGAATATCGCTTGAGCTCACAGGAGGCTTGAACTCACAGGAAGCTGCAGTGAGCTGTGATAATGCCACTGCACTTAAATCCGGGTGACAGAGCAAGACCCTGTCTTAAAATATATAATGTACATCATATATTTTTTATATATATGAAAGTTATTAATAGAGGCTTTGCCTCATTAAGTAAAATACATAATAATCTTTGATTTTTTTTTTTTTTTTTTGAGACAAGTTTCCCTCCTGTTACCCAGGCTGGAGTGCAATGGCACAATCTCAGCTCACCACAACCTCTGCCTCCTGGATTCAAGTGATTCTCCTGCCTCAGCCTCCCGAGTAGCTGGGATTACAGGCATGTACCACCACACCTGGCTAATTTTTTGTATTTTTTGTAGAAATGGGGTTTCTCCATGTTGGTCAGGCTGGTCTCGAACTCTCCACCTCAGGTGATCCGCCCGCCTCGACCTCCCAAAGTGCTGGGATTGCAGGCAGGAGCAACCATGCTCAGCCTTGAATTTTTTTTTTAATGTCTCCATTTTCTTCACTTACAAATAAATATTTGGGTAAATTATCATTACAGTCATTATTCAACTTTATTATAAAAGTTAAAAAGCATTTCTGAACAGAGTATATTCCTGTGATTCTGCATACTACAGAAAGTTATTCTGCGTCTTTGGCTTTAAAATTAATTCAAAAAACTTTCCACATCCGGATTTCAAGTAAACACATTCAGATATGTTTGGGGCTGAGCGGGGAAAGAAAAAAAAAAAACACAAAGGCAAGACAAGTCTCTCTTTTCAGTTTTCTTGGTTAATCCATTCTAATTAATTTCCTGAGAGGAAGCACAAGAGGTGAGCCCATTTCTTCAAACAACAGCGCTATGTGTTGACTTATCTTTTTAATATGTATTTGAAGGGACAACTCCTGTCAGTTTCTTTTAAATTCACTTTATAAGATACATACTTTGAAATAAGCTCTCTTTGGAGGTGCTTGGTTTTAAAAGAACCACCACCGGTTAACTGCCTGTGCAACCTTACAGTTCCGTGAAAATCAACAAAAGGCATTCGTTGAGGGTTTCACTTGGAAAATGTTTACATTGTTCTATGAAGGTTAGAAAGGCGGAAGGAGCTCCCTGAGGTTTCACGGGAAGACAGTCCAGCCTATTTATTCATAATGGGATTTCAGTTACAGAAGAACATTTAGATTCAACAGAAGGAGAATTTTAAATGGCTGAGAAAAGATGATAAGAAAATGTTCATAGACCATTTCATTGTGGTTCCCTCTTTAATGCAAAAGGGAGAAAAACACTCAGTGAAGAAAGTTAATGACTCTGAAGTTCAAATGAGAAGTTTAGAAACAACTTCTTGAAAAAAAGAAAAATTATGCATTTATTGAATGACATTACTCAATAATTTGGGGTATTTTCTTTTTGAGTGTGTTTTTTTTCTTTTCCATGCTAATTCTATAAATTGAAGGCAAGAATAAATGTTCTTGTTTCTTTGCTTAATTTGAAAGAAACGGACTGGCCAGGCACAATGGCCCACACCTATACTCCTTAGCACTTTGGGAGGCCAAGGTGGGCGAATCACCTGAGGTGATTTATAGCTTTATTACCTTTTTTTTTTTTTTTTAAAGACATGAGGACTATGTTGCCCAAGTTGGAGTGCAGGTACTATTCATAGCTGCAATTCAAGGCACTGTAGCCTTGAACTCCTGGGCTCAAGCAAACCTCCAACTCCCAGGTTCGAGCAATTCTCATACCTCAGTCTCCCCAGTAGCTGGGAATACACGTGTGTGCCACCATGCCCTACCCAATTTTTTGTATTTGTAGTAGAGACAGGGTTTCACCATGTTGGCCAGGCTGGTCTCAAACTCCCAACCTCAAATGATCTACCCACAAAGTCATTATTTAGTATGACAATTAATACATATTTTATCAAACCATATTATCAAACATTTATTGTAGGCCCTAGCCTCCCAAAATGCTAGGATTACAGGCATGAGCCATTGGGTCCAGCCTTCTTTCCAGCTTCATGTGGGTTTGCCTAGCCTGTGCTCTGCCCTCGCTTCACATAGGTCTCTTTTCCTACCTCTCCCTTCACACTACTATACTTCATTGATTCTGAGATGCTCCTTTCCCCGCGCAGCCAATATTTCTGAAATGCAGATGCATGTTACCCTCTGTGTTGGCCAAATGGTGGTCTTGCTGTGGTTGTCTTTGCCTGACACCTTCTGGTAATAGCAAGAAAGGGTCAGCATGAAAACTTGAAGAATGGATGTCAGTGACTTAGAAGAAAATTCCTGAGATAAGAGTGGAGGAGTTTTTAGGAGATGCTGCTTCACCAAGGCTCTTGATGAACCTGAGACAAGAGTTTATGGAAAAAAAAAAAAAAAAAAAAAAAGCTTATTGACTCTGACTCAAGGTGTGATTTGTGTGAGGCACTCAGACTACAAAGGTGGTTTTAAAATACTTTAAGCTATGTATTTTATAAGGTTAAAAAAAAACGTATTTAAGTGTTTTAAAGCTCTTTCAGTAGGTATAACATTTCTTCTATTTATTTATTTATTTATTTTTACCAGGAATACATGCACTTTATTGAACACCATTGTAGAAAAGTGTGTGAGAATAAAGGGCTGATACAGGACTTGGCTCGAGGGCAGGGCAAGGAATGGAAGGTTGGGTATGTGGAAAACAGGTCATGGGCAGAGTCCCCTGGCCTAGATGATTCCTCCTGATCTATTGATAGGCTTGCAAAATCAGTATTGGGATGATGATCAGCAGAATGGTCATGATGATGCCCCAAATCAGGGCCCAGATGTTCAGGCACTTGGAGGTGGAGGCACAGGCCTGGGCCCCGATCAGGTTGCCAACCATCTTCCTGTCCCTAGACTTCACGAAGTAGGCGAATGCTATGAAGCCCTGGCAGCAGGAGTTCATGAAGAGGGTGTTGAGCAGGGACCAGAAGACATGGTCGGGGGAGCAGGGTTATGGGGTGCCCCCAGCACAGCCACCTCATGCTCCTCCTTCAGCATCTCATAGTTGGGGGTACGGTCGGTGTTGGCAGGAGTGAAGAAGGTTTGGACAGTGTGGTTCATGCTGTCCAGGGAAGGCCAGCTGTGGTCGGGTTGCTGGGATGGTTCTCAGTGGGCCCTCCCCTTCCCCACTAGTTTCGATTTCTCAGCCGCTTCCTTTTCCTGGCATTCGTCCAGGTATAACATTTCAAAGTGAGAAGAGAGCACTACCATAGTCTAAATATCAGTGTTTTCCTTTCTTATTAGCCTATAAAATGCTGGTACATCCTACAATTAATGGGGTTTTAGATTCAATGAACTGCAGTCCCACTTCTTATACTTTACAAAGACATACCCCTCAGTCATTCTGTATCCTCTTTTTTATTTTATTTTATTTTTTTGAGATGGAGTCTCTGTCACCCAGGCTAGAGTGCAATGGGACAATCTTGGCTCTTAGCAACCTCCGCCTCCTGGGTTCAAGTGATTCTCATGCCTCAGCCTCCCAAGCAGCCGGGACTGCAGGCGCGTGCCATCACATCTGGCTAATTTTTGTATTGTGAGTAGAGATTGGGTTTCACCTTGTTAGCCAGGCTGGTCTTGAACTCCTGACTTCAGCTAATCAACCTCCTTGGCCTCCCAAAGTGCTGGGATTACAGGTGTGAGCCACCACACCCAGCCTATTTGTTTGATTTTTTTGAGACACAGTTTCACTCTGTCACCCAGGCTGGAGTGCAGTGGTGCAATCTCAGCTCACTGTAACCTCCAACTCCTGGGTTCAAGCAATTCTCATGCCTCAGTCTCCCCAGTAGCTGGGAATACAGGTATGTGCCACCATGCCCTATCCAATTTTTTATATTTTTAGTAGAGACAGAGTTTCACCATGTTGGCCAGGCCGGTCTCGAACTCTTGACCTCAAATGATATACGCAAAAAGGCATTATTTAATATGACAATTAAAAGATTTTATCAAATCATATTGTCAAACATTTATTCTAGTTATAGTCAATCCTCATCTTATTTCATTTTGAAATTGTTTAATATTTTCTATCTCCTGTTAACAAAAATTGAAATTATATGTTAGCTGGGGGAATTATTAGTTATTTTATACACCTACCCATATTATTGTCATTTTTTCCTTTAAATACATAGAAAAACTTTGATCATAATAGCTCATGGAATGAATGGTGCATTTTTTGAAATTTTAATATAGCTTTTATTTAATCATTTCTAAAAGCTAACACTTATATTTACGGAAAGAGTACTATACCTTTTAAAAATCATTTTGTCGGGGCCAGGTGTGGTGGCTCACGCCTGTAATCCTAGTACTTTGGGAGGTCAAGGCCGGTGGATCACCTAAGGTCAGGAGTTTGAGATCAGCTCTGACCAACATGGTAAAACTCTGTTTCTACTAAAAACGAACAAACAAAAATTAGCCAGGTATGGTGCCAAGTACCTGTAATCCCAGCTACTTGGGAGGCTGAGGCAGGAGAATCACTTGAACCTGGGAGGCGGAGGTTGCAGTGAGCTGAGGTCACACCACTTCACTCCAGCCTGGGTAAAAGAGCAAAGCTCCAACTAAAAAAAAAAAACAAAAAAACTCATTTTGTCCTTTCATAAATAACTCATCATTTTAGCTGTATATTATCCTATTTTATTATAAACTAAGTAATTAAAAATGGCATGTAGACTTATTATGGTTTTTATAATCGTTATAAAAATATATTAATTGGCCGGGCGCGGTGGCTCACGCCTGTAATCCCAGCACTTTGGGAGGCCGAGGCGGGTGGATCACGAGGAAGCAAGAGAACGAGACCATCCTGGTCAACATGGTGAAACCCTGTCTCTACTAAAACTACAAAAAATTAGCCGGGCATGGTGGCGCGTGCCTGTAATCCCAGCTACTCAGGAGGCTGAGGCAGGAGAATTGCCTGAACCCAGGAGGCGGATGTTGCGGTGAGCCGAGATCGCGCCATTGCACTCCAGCCTGGGTAACAAGAGCGAAACTCCGTCTCAAAAAAAAAAAAAAAATATATATATAT